CGTTCGCCAATTTAGCAGCATTGAAATGGCATTTCATTAGAATGTTAGTCTGTACATCCTCAATATAATAAGAAAAGGTTACCCTCGACTATCCTGTCCCTTTTCCGCAGCCCACCCCAGATGGGCTGGGCTGCCGAGGTCGACGTGTGCAACGAACGGCCATCTCGAAGCCTCTCGGCTTTCAAGGCGAATCCGTAGCCTTCGAAGTTTGGCCACTTGGACAAGTGGCAGAGACGAAGCCCATCCGCAGATTCCTGCAAGTTGGTGCAGGTGGTGTTAAATACGGTGAAACACATACGAGCTTCACGCCATTGTTGTCCGTGTCGTGTCGTTTGCACGGCAGCTGTACAGGTGGCTTGAGCCGATTTTTCGTTTCGTTAAGGCAGTCGGAGAAGCTACCTGAAAACAGCCAGCGCTAAATGATTCTGTTTATTATGCGAGTAATTTTCCCCACTCTGCTACTAGCACATTTGCGTAGTCGTTGCCTATAGCAAAATGAACGAAGAAACAGGGTCTAGGTGGTTCTGATGCGTTATGTTTGACAGTGTTGCTAAAATGGAAAACTTGAAGGAACACAGCTCTGCGAGGAAATAGGTATTTACTAGTATCGCTTACACTATTCTTAAGAGGATTTGCCAACGAAAGCTTGCATGCCGATATATTAAAGACTGAGACATTCTTTCAGAAACTGGTGAGGCGTTCTACTCGTGGTACCCAGCATTTGATGCTTGAAGAGCCTGCTTTCCTGTCACTTACTTCTCCAGTTTTTGACAAAACCTAGTAGGCCCTAGCTATACTGTACTAGAATACCATTCCAGTACATTGCAGTCCTCGCTGAGCGTCTTGCGTAGCACAATAAACAATTGTATCGAACCAGTTGGTATGAGTCCATCTTGGTGGGGAGCGCCGCCCCTATTACACAGAACACAAAACAAGTGCGCTTAACTTCAACTAAACGTTTTTTGCAAACGTGAGAGTTTATAAAGGGGTGAAAGAGAAAATAATAATAATAAAAGGCAGATCAATAAAAAGCACACGCGCCTGTCCCGTACATTCATCATCATCATCAGCCTGGCTACGTATACTGCAGGGCAAATGCCTCTCTTATGTTCCGCCAGTTAACCCGGTCCTGTGCTTGCTGCTGCCAATTTATACCCGCAAACTTCTTAATCTCACCTGCCCACCTAACCTTCTGTCTCCCCCTAACCCACTTGCCTTCTCTGAGAATCCAGTTAGTTACCCTTAATGACCAGCGGTTATCCTGTCTACGTGCCACATGCCCGGTCCATGTCCATTTCCTCTTCTTAATTTCAACTATAATATCCTCAACCCCCGTTTGTTCTTTAATCCACTATTTTCTCTTCTTGCCTCTTGTGGTTACACCTACCATTTTTCTTTCCATTGCTCGCTGCGTCGCCTTGAATTTAAGCTGAACCCTTTTTGTAAGTCTCCAAGTTTTTTCTCTGTAGCTAAGTACCAGCGAGACACAGCTGTTATATACCTTCCTCTTGAGAAAAAGTGGCAATCTACTTATCCTAATTTGAAAGCGCTTGTCAAATGTGCTCCACCCCATTCTTATTCTTCTAGTTACTTCAGTCTCGTGGTTCGACTCCGCGGCTATTACCTGCACTAAGTAGACATAGTCTTTTACAACTTGAAGTGCACTATTACCTATCTCGAAGCGCTGCTTTTTTCCGAGGTTGTTGTACTATACTTTCATTTTCTGCAGAATAATTTTAAGACCCACCTGTGTGCTCTCCTTGTCTAACTCCGTAATCATGAGTTGCAATTAGTCCCCTGAGTTAATCAGCAATGCAGTGTTATCGGCGAAGCGCAGGTTACTAAGGTACTCTCCATTAACTCCTATTCCTTACTATTCTCATTCTGTTCCCACACTCAAACAGTGCCCTGTTTCGAAAGAAAAAAGAGGATGCCAAATTAAGCATCGCAATAAATAAGTTGAGTGTGCACTATCGGTTGTTTACAGAGTGCCCTTGTCATGTGGTCTTGTTTATGCGGGAACAACTGAAAGATGCATAAATGAGAGGTTAAAAGAGCACGACAGGAAAGTGCAAAAGGGTACCGATGGTCACTTGGCGATCCACTGTAAGGAGTGCTGTTGTGTGCCGTATTTTGATAATACTTGCGTGTAAATCGGGACAGAGATTTATTAACCTGTTTGATAGTAGAAGCTTCGGAAATTACACGTGATGATTTTCAGTGTGTTAGTGCCCCCTCTATCTCGCTCATGCGGAAAGAACTTTGTTTTTTGGATGGTTTGACAGATAAAAACAGATAAGTAATGTACGGGACTGGCACGTGTCGTTTTTGTTGGTCTGCCTTTTATTATTATTATTATTATTATTATTATTATTATTATTATTGTCTCTTTCTCCTCCTTTATAAACTCGACGTTTGCAATAAACGTTTAGTTGAAGTTAGGCGCTTGTGTCGTGTGTTTTGTGTAATAGTGGCTGCGCTTCCTACCAAGATGGTTGCGTAGCACGCCCTTTCTGTGTTACTTCGTTGGCGAAAGTAAACCAAGCGAAGCGAACACTAAATGAACGCACAAGTCATACCGAGAGAGCTGTTCTGGAGAGAAAATCAGCTTTTTTCTGTATTAAATTGTAGGTGCTTCATGTTCCCGGTTACCATGAAAATTCATAGCTTTGCCGCAAAGGCGAAACAATGAACGCGATAGCAGCAATTTGAAAGGTCACGCGCAGAATGGAAAGCATATTGAAAGGTGCTCCGCGTTTTTCGCGCACAAATTACGCACGAAACGTACTCACAGGTACGGATGCACGCGAATAAGCGCCTCCTTTGTTACTTCGCCGAGTCTAAAAAGCACGCGCTTTTCGCGAACGGAGACTGCAATGATTGCAGTGACCTTTGTGCGCTCGGTAACTACAGCAGAATCGTTCCACGTAAAGCCCGAGGACAGCCAAGGCGTACGATCCTCCCCTCCTCACCAACGCGAAATAAGGGCGCGCGAGGGATGGTAGCTCCCTTTCTGTAAGCCGAGCAAAGTACGCGTTGGAGATTAGAGCGGGCGCCGCTGTGCGATGTGGCGATGTGCACTCGTTGCGACATCTTTCTGGTAATGCCAAAAACACAGCAGCGGTAAGTGGTAGATATAAATAGCTTCCAGTTTAAACGGTGAAGCACGTTCTCCGGGGTGGCTTAGTGGTAAGTGCCTCACTTTCACGACGCAGGAATCTCACATTCAATTTCGCGCGCCGGAGTTTTTTTTTCTGGATTTTTTTCTTTCTTGCGTTTTCCCATATATATATACGTATACATATACAGTACATGACATCGACGCCGGCGGTAAAATCTAGCAGAGAGTGACAATATAATTGCTTTCGCAATAAAAGTAACTGGTTTATTTCTCTCTAGTGCGTCAATGAAATACAGATTGCAGACAAATCGAAGTATCCCCACGAAGTGAATCATGACGAGTGGACGGTGCAAGGTCTTAAAGTCCATAATAGCTACGTTGAAGTCACCCAGTAGTATAAAGGGTTTTGCTTGCAGGTGCTTTTATATTATTCTGTCGGAATGATTATTATGAGTCTAACCTTTTTCTGTGTCTTACATAAGTTTCGACAATAGCACACGTTACTCGAGCGTGGCCATACATAATGTAGCTGTGACAACGAACAGTGGCCAATCTTCGCGCTTTAAGTGCTTTTCACCTACAAAGTTCCTTTCATTTGAATGACAAGATTATCGATCCTACAAGCCTTCGGTCAGCGACAAGTGGTGGCGGTCGCGGTTTCCACTGCACTACCAATGCTCATGTTCACCGACGTGCCCTTCACCTCTTACAAGTTCCCCCTTTCGCAATGAACATGCCTGGCTGGTGTTAGCTGGTGTCACCGTTTACGATCCTTGACGAGAAGTTCTGGAAGCGTTACTTGTCATGAAACAGCGCTACCATCTAGGCGCCCAACGCCAGCTTGAAGCGGACGCTTTCACGCATTCAAGGCTTGAGCTACGAACTCTGCATCGCATTCGTAAAATCTTGCGGGGCATATGCATGAGCGGATGGGCTGGTTACACCATTATTCAGGGGCGGAATCCTTCGCGTTACCTTTGTCAAAATACGACGCTTCTAATGAGCGAAAGGCGAGTACCAGTGTTATGTGGTTGCTGATGCCACCTTTGTGCAGAATAGGGCGTATTATTTATTAAGGTGTGTACGCCTGCACATATATAGTTGTCATGTATTTTGTCTACTTCAGTTAACACAAGGGTGGAGCCATGATATTTGGCCCTAGTCATTGGGGTGTAGATGCTCCAAGGCGTCACCGTTATTTACCACAAATGGTCCAATAGCTGGCAAAAGCCAATAGATACTGTGCATGTTCTCATACATCACAGCGTAGCATATTCAGCAATAAATTGTGCTCTTGTGACAACATGGTTCGCTTTTATCTTATACAAACGCTCCTATGGTGGAGGGAACAACGATGTTTTTTTTCTAGTCGCTGAAACGCCGTAAAAAAGTGGCAGCTGGTTCGGAGATGTTTGCTCGGGGCACACAAGGCTTTTATCTTAACAAATGCCTGTAGAGTGCAACAACTAATATTATTAAAAATAGATCAGAGTACTAACAGCAGGTGACATGGTTTCCGATGACCCGACGCTGATGGACGAGTATCCGCTGTTAATGGTGTTGTCCTTTCTCGGGGTGGGAATGGGACTGGCGCAGTTCAGGAACATGGACTGGGTGGCAGGAAGATGTGGTCGCCAATGATGTTTGGCCACGCCTTCCTTCACGACAAGGTCTTCTTCGCTGATAGCCTTGTAATGTTCAGCTTCATTCGTCGATTCGATGGCGTGGGGAACCACAATTCCCCCAGTGCCTGCGGCTTCCACTTTGGGCGTCTGGAATTGAAAAAAAAAGGATATATAGAGATGGAAGCCATAAAATAAATGCTACGAGGATAACTTATATGAGCCCACTTGGTTACTATGTATCAAAAGGTGAACATGGCAACAGTCGGAACTTAAATCACGAGGCTCAGCACTGAAACTGTGACTTACGTACAGCTACTGTTATGTCTCAGTTAACCATAAATATAATTTATTGGAAAAGCAAATCACTGTGGAATATTAATAATGACTTGCCATACCTGTTTATTCGTTTTCATAAAAGTTAACCGAGGTCGTCGGGCTGGTGTCCAGCGCCTCAGGACACCGTCCGCCTGACCACTGGGCTTCTGGTGGCGGCTCGCGAAGGCCTCGTCTGTCTCACGGTCGATGACCAGCAAGTCTACTTGGTCCGGTTCCTTGCCTATGCGCCACATTATTTCCTGGTAGCTCCTGTTTTCCACTGATACCGCGTTCACCTGCACAGTTGCAAAGTACATGGGGGCAAACAATAACCTCGCAATATTTACAGCTCTGTATTATAGGACTAGCATGGGGACTTCGGTTTTGCTAAACGCTTGCCTTCCCACATATTTGTTAGTGCATGCTTTAACGTGTTAAGCTCAAAGTGTGACTAATAATTTATATAACCCATGCACATCTTCGAACAAGCCTTACCTTTATCCAGCAAGTGTGTTATCTATGTGTTATCTCTTACCGTGATAGAAATCGCACTTTAAACATTGGCCGAGCGGGAAACCTTCTAGGGGGAACAGGAGTGCAGCCCAATTATTCCATGCGAAGCTTTTTAATCAGGAGCATTCGAGACTATTATTGCTGTTTGCGAGCTTATAGCTATGCCTATCTGTTCTCCAACAAGTTTCGTATTACTAGGCGTCTTTCTCTAAAACATTGTTTTCATCAATACTATCCTTCACTGTAAGTCCACGCACTATAGGCACCTTACATGATTTACGTAAAAAGTTTTCCAAGACAATCAGGAGGCTTGCCATGGGAGGGAATCTGTACGTCATGCAACGCGCGACAACATATACAGTAAACCCAAAAGACACAGGTGGCGACCCGTGAAAGAAAGCCACGTGATCTCTCGTAGGCATACTTCGATGAGCCTGTCATCATTGCGAAGTCCACCAAGCTCGGCGGGGCTGTCGGGGACTACGGCCGTGATGAAGAAGTTCTCTTCGTCTTCTCGGAGACTGAAGCCGTACCCCTCATAGTCCGGCCACTTGCGCAGGTAGCACAAGCGAAGACCCCCCGCAAGCTCCTGTGTATATAACGAAGGCTAGTGAAGTGAAAAAAAATAGTGCTTGAAAAAGGATGTCGGTACACAACATCGTTTTAAATACTAGGCATTTCTTGGTGAACCAGAAGCACTTGGGCTTTTTGTAGCATACTATCTATCTATCTATCTATCTATCTATCTATCTATCTATCTATCTATCTATCTATCTATCTATCTATCTATCTATCTATCTATCTATCTATCTATCTATCTATCTATCTATCTATTTGTCTGTCTGTCTGTCTGTCTGTCTGTCTGTCTGTCTATCTATCTATCTATCTATCTATCTATCTATCTATCTATCTATCTATCTATCTATCTATCTATCTATCTATCTATCTATCTATCTATCTATCTATCTATCTATCTATCTATCTATCTATCTATCTATCTATCTATCTATCTATCTATCTTGACAGTTACTTTCCATATTAAAACCCCTAGACCAGACCATATGCGTATCATCACACCATGATGTGCGAATCTTCGTGATAAACGCGACGTCTGCGCTTTAACGTGAAAGCCAACGTGATGTTATACCAACATCTACCCTCAACTTAATAGATCAATGTACCAGCTTTGTGAGCCCGCGATATACGCACAACTACTCAATTTATGCAATTTCATCAATACGTCTGCTAACATTTGGTCCAAAAAAAACACAAATATGGCATAAGCTGTTACTTGGTCAATGTGTTGCAATAAATTACCTCTCCGATGCGCGAGACCTGATGAGTTTTTCCCCGTTTTAGAGTAAGATATCTAAAAATGCTGTAATAAACACAAGAAAATATTTTCTAGGCATGAGCTGAAAACAAACTTCATTCCACAATTTCTCTCGTTCCCATTGTCTTATTTTATAAAGTACTTTCTCTATTTCACTTCCAATAAACAGTGTCAACAAGTGTAGCAGACGTTATTTGGAACCCCGTACATCAGTGAAACTAAAAGGCCTTGCGATCGGTCAGCTGCTTCAAATATAGAAATATAATTAGAGCACGTATTCAAGTTATTAACTAGAATTTCTGGGTTTTCGAATTCAGCTCCGCTGAGTCACATCATCTCATATGTTTATTAATTTAAATAGAAGAAACAGCTGGCTACAATTACCTTTGTTTGATGCCTAGGACGCGCTAAAATTAAGCCCACGGGACACAACTTTTAATTAAGCACACAACTTTTTCTAAACAAATTAAAGCACACAAAATTAAGCACACAACTTTTTCTAAATACACAGGAATAGCGTGCTACAATTACCTTCTATACAATAAATTTGAGTCTTGAATCGGGCTTGTACTTGCCGTAGTCTTTCAATAAAGTAAAATAAAGGCGCTTTTTCGAATTCAGCTACGCTAAATCACATAAGCTCATATATTTATTAATTTAAACAAAGGGAACAGCTGGGTACTATTGCCTTCTATACCATAATTTTCACGTTTGAAACGTTCTTGCATTTGCCGTAGACTTTCAATTAGAGTAAATTAGGGGTGGTTATGACACGCTTCCTGTGGCTTGGGAAGAACAAAAAATCAGTGGGTACAGTGGATAGCTGTGTTCACGTTAAATTATACTGTTGCCTCATTGCGAGATAGATTTCGACCTTGAATTATGTCTTGCCACTTTTCTTTATATTGCGATAGCAATTAAATGGACACTCTCGGCTGGATTTTGCCGCCGGCGTCGACTTCGGCGCCCATGTCTTGCACCGTATATGCATACTTACCTATATATATGAAAACGCAAGAAAGAAAAAAGTGCCCCCTTATCCACGAGGTGAATGATGATGAGTGGGCGAAGCTCCGGAGGTAAACCTGGTAAACCATGAATCATCCGTACATTTTGCCCACTTGATTTTATTACAACGCTCCCCTAGCGTACGTCGCCGCACTAAATCGAACGTTTGTCTTCCACCGATGGCACGCGCCATATGGGACATTATTCCTATTTTACAACATCTCACATCTTCCATCATCAACTACAAGTACCGGCGTCTAGTTCATAACATTTTGCGTTTTTTCGTCAGCAGCTACAAGTACCGCCATCTAGTGAACACTGCAAGAAATAAACGAGAGGTAGTACATACAGGGGACGCACAGCCTACACCTTAAGGAGCTTCGCCGCTAAAGATCCAGGAAAAAGCACTCCGGCACGCAGAATCGAACGTGGGACCTCTGCGCCGTGAAAGCGAGACGTTAACGACTGAGCCACCCTGGAGAACGTTCTGAACCGTTCAAACGGCAAGCAATTTATATCTACCACTTACCGCTGCTGTGTTTTCAGCATTACCAGAAAGATGGCGCAATGAACGCACGTCGCCACATCGCGCAGCAGGGCCCACTCTAATCTCCTACGCGTACTTTGCCTGGCTTAGAAAAGGAGAGCTACGCTCCCTCGCGCGCCCTTATCTCGCAGTGGCGAGGAGGGGAAGATCGTACGCCTTGGCTGGCCTCGAATTTTCACTGTAGTTACCGGGCACGCAAACGTCACTGCAATCATAGCAGTCTCCGTTCGCGAAAAGCGCGCGATTTTCAGACTCAGCGAAGTAATAAATGAGACGCTTATTCGCGTGCATCCGTACCTGTGAGTACGTTTCATGCGTAATTTGTGCGCGAGAAACGCGGGGCGCGTTTCCATTCGGCGCGCGACCTTTCAAATTGTTGCTGCCGTGTTCATTGCTTTGGCTTTGCGGCACAGCTGTGACTTATTTTTTTAATTTTGTCATTTTTTATGGAAGTGCGCGAAGGTCTGCCTATCTGTCACAGAATTCCTTACCACAAAGCTTCACAATGGGCTGTTTGCAATAATCTGCAAAACGCCTTTCCTTGAAGGTTTTTTTTTTTCAACCAAAAAACTCTCGTTCACAGACTGCTTTTCTCGCTCATTGTGATGTAGTCGCGTGCTCGCGTGCCTCGCTGGAATTCGAGGAGGTGACATTTTGGTGTACTTGCGTGCTCGCGTGCCTTCGCTGCACAATGAGCGAGAAAAGCAGTCTGTGAACGAGAGTTCTTGGTTGGAAAACAAGCCATACAGGAAAGCCAACTTGCAGATTATCGCACACTGTCTATTCCTAGGTCGCAGAGATGGCGGACATCATGATGCCTTGATAGCTTGATTCCATAGGCGAGTTTTAGTATTCGTTTAGGAAAACATGCGGTACAATCAATTTTTTAAGAGAAAGCGCAATCTTTTATGAAGAAATACGGCCTATAGGAGCGCTATTTAGCTAATAAAGGTTAATATACAACTGTGCAGTGTAAGCCTCTAGCCTGTCTGCTTAGCCTCCTTTTGAATAAACACTGTGCGTTTGCAGCATCTTCTATGGCACATGAATATACTGATGTTTTCTGGATTTATCGAAACGAAGCTTAGTAATTCTAAAAAAAAAGTTGTTTGGAGGTTATATATTTATCGAAACGAAGCTTAGTAATTCTAAAGAAAAAGTTGTTTGGAGGTTGCTGTCTACATATAGCTTTGAAATGTCCGTCTGTGAACGATAATTTAAATACAGAAGTCGATACGTGGTAGGATTGAGCACGAATATGCAAGCGAAAAAAATGTGCGCAATTCGAACACTTACAATTGAACGCTGCAAGAACCCTATGTAGGTGTGCTCAAAAATTGATGATGAGCACTTCACTTACAACTGCCGGAAAATCGCTTGGAAAACGTGAAAACGCTTTACAAGTACTCTACTATAGCGGAGCATCAAAGCTGTCTCTTGTTCGTATATCAGAGCCTGGATGACCTGCACACAACAGAAGGTTGACATTTAGCTTGCTCTGAATGGTGTTTGTTTTAGCGCTTACTAAACGTTACAGGCTTACGCGCCGACGACCATGGTGGTGTTATGGTGGTCAACTGGTGACCTAAAGGTTGTTGGGATGAATATTGGTTATGCGAGGAGCATTTTCGATAGAGGCGGGAAGGCTAGAGGCCGGTGTAAAACTTAGGTGTCGGTCGAAATTTTCAGGAACATCTGCTACGACGTCTTTTATAATCTTCTTGTGGTTTAGGAAAGCTAAACCGCAACAGTGATTAGTAGCAGGTTAATGCACTAACTGGAGGCTCTTAAAAGGCCACATGAAACAAAATTCATTCACCTGCTGTAAGATCTACGAAGCTCTCATTATTAATTTGAATGATGATGATCTTGAAATTTATGTTTCGAAGCGAGCATTTAAGACCTCCGGCTCCATTTGTGTGACTCACTGTTCTTTGACAGTCAGCACCCTATTGGTCACTACGATTACCAGTCAGCACACTTGGGGACATAAACTTTCCCGGGCAGACATGCAACGCTTACGCTTGTCGTCAGGCTTCCTGATGACCAATTTATACTCCCGGAGGTTGTTCTGCCCTTCGAGCGAACCTTCTTCGATGACTTTTTGGAGCTCGTGCGAACGACATAATGTTGTCACCGCGGAGGGCGATGCCGCGCCTCTTGTACCAGGCAGCGGTTTCGTCGTCTACGACCAAGAGTCGAGCTTCGTTAGGCGTGAACTTGACCAGCTGCATCACATCTCCATGTCCGAGACCATCCAAGATCACCCCGTTTACCTGCATGGTAGATGCGTGGCATGAAATACAGGTGAACTCTAACGCATGAATTTACCGTAGGCTGTGTTACTCTACGAGCGCTTAAGCTATTGACATGTTCAATCTTGATCTTAGTAAACCTTGTAGAAATCTGTATAAAAGGACATACCACGGTACTTATTAAGATAATTTTTCTTTGCTTCATGCTATTGTACCCATTTTTTAATCATTTGAAAGTGGGATGTCTAAATTTAGCCTTGTCATACTTGAAATCAATAAAAATCTTCAGGACTTCAGCACACAGAGTAAGAACACTAGGCAGCCAGGTGTAAGGAGAAACTCAAACCGGTCAACAACAAAGCACGGGCAAGACATGTGCTTTTAGACACGCAATGACCTCTTCTCTTATACAAAGCTGTTTGCGTTTGCGTACTGTCGTTGTACAATATTATTAACTATGGCACCAGACGTGACCACTGACGAGGTTCAGGTGAAACATTTAGACACACGCTTTTGTGTGCCCTGTGGCAAAAACATTCCTTGAGTCTACATCTAACGTCGAGACTGACTAAGTGGCGTCTCACCTCAATGACAGTGTCATTAGAACGCAGGCCAGCGGCCTCAGCTGGGCTTCGGGTTCTACGGCTGACACCCGTGGAAGATAGTCCTGCTTGGCCGGAATTAGTTTAAACCCAAAGCCGTCATATTCGGGCCTGCGAACTAAATGGCACAGGCGCGCCGCAGGAGGTTTGGCGAGTTGCGTCGTGATTCCGGAAGTGGAAGTTCCCGCTACAGTTGACGGCAACGACTGTTTTGGCGGCCTGAGCAGACAAGCTGGTGGACTTCCCTTCAGAAAACGAGAAGTTCAATGATTCTTTTTCCAGCCGTGGAAAAAATGAAATAAGTGGTAATGTAGTTCATTATTCGCTCGTGAATTAGAGCTACCAGAAGCTCCTGAGAACTCGCGCACGTGCGCACATCACACACACACAATCATGTGTGTGTGCGTGTGCGTGTGCGAAGGTGTTTTGTCAAGCCAAGTTGGATGCTATAGAAGTTAGTCGCTAGCCCTACCTAGTATAAAAGAGAATTTCTAGGTGCAGCGTTCCTTGTTGCAGGCTGTGTTTAGTTTGAAATTTTGCAGCCCTAGAAATAAGTTTCTTAGCTTTATAGCTTTAATTTATTAGCTGGAAATATTACACGGTTACTTAGAGAAACGCTAGAACTGTATATGCAAAATGTTTTGTAAAGCTCTGGCAAGGCGTGTTCTATTTTAGATGAATTCAGTGTTCATTCTACAGGAAAATTTGCGTTTGCTGCTGATGAGTGGTGTTTCAAGGTGGTCGAATTCCACAATGCTGTCTAAAAACATTTGTATTGGCCACTGTAGTCACCCTACTGTTCACGCTTGTTGTATTCAGAGTCGATTTACCGTTACGCAGCAGCTAGACACACTCCGCACAACTGTTCTCTTCGAGATTGCATAATGTATGAGCAGCGCTGTTCGCGTGTTGTGCCACAATCACTTGCATTCCTTTTCCGTAATATGGAATTAAGCCATTATGTTTTAAGACGCGGCAGAGTAGGCCGTTTTGCTAACGAGACGCGGGTTGTCAGGCCAACCTTCAAGGGTGTCAACTTAACCTTCGTTTCACACTACACAGATTCTACAAGACATGTTAGCGACGAGATAAGCTACAAGCTCTCCAGACAAGGCTAATAAACACATTAATGCAGTTCGACCCACCAAAGTGCTGAAAGATAGTTGCGTAATTAGCGGAAAGCTTGCAATATTGCCGCCAATTACATTTTTTTTCGCACCATGTCATGGCGTCATACTGCATCCACATAACTAAGGTAGGACACCACTCAGTTAACCATGCCCTTGTTACTAGGCCATAATAAGAAAACTGCTTACATGGGCGGACGAAGTGTCCATTGTCCCGCCGATAGACTGCTTAGTTCACGTAGTCCCAAGTGATATGCCTTCTTGCACAGGATAGAACCCAAGAATCGAGACCTCACTCGTGCACCCACGCTTCTTTTTCTTCCTGAGTGCGTGCCTATTATGCACATGCAGTGGCTGTGCTGGTGATGTCGATGGGAGCCTTGGAGCAGTTTGAAGCATTAAGAATTTCAGTGCTCGGGGCTAAATGATCTTTACGTGCCTCGGAACGCGCAGCCGAAGCCACTTGCTTCACTGATTATCTGTCTTCACACTAGTGAAACACTTGGGCTGATAACTTATATCAGTTTAAATATAATTTTAAAAGCAGAGGTTTTTTGGGCATATTTTGTGGGTCTGAAACAAAATGCTAATATTATTATGAACTAGCACGTGCTCTTCTCGTTCTGTTCTTCATCGTCGTGATCTTCTTCTACTGCTTAGCTCCCAGAACACGTGCACCGATTTCTTCAGCACGGGATGCAATCTCTTGGGCGAAACAACCAGTACAGAGGTAGAAAGAGAAAAGAAGGCAATGAAGACAAAGAAAAGAAGAAATTCTGGGTGCTGAATTCTCTGTGGAACGAGATTCGAAGAATAGTTGTGAAAAAACACTGAAAAAAAAAACACACAGCATATCCACGGAGTGAATGATGATGTGTGGGGCGAAGCGTCCATCAGCCCGTCCTAGCTTCCGTCCAACCTTTCGTTCTTGCTTCCATCCGCCCGCGCCGTCATCCGCGCGTCAATGCATGCGTCCATACGTCTGTCCATGCGTCCATGGATGCGTTCATCTAGTAAACACTCCAAGTACCGCCATCTCCCATCTCGCTGTGGCAAATACCCGTTCTAGAGCGGGTATGTGTCACCACTACATACATACATACATACATACATACATACATACATACATACATACATACATACATACATACATACATACATACATACATACATACATACATACATACATACATACATACATACATACATACGGAAGAGCGACACGACCCACGCCATAAGACGCTTCGCCTCTAAAAAATTCACCTACCACTCTGCGAATCTGCTGCATTAGGTATGAGCCATGAGAAGAGGAGAAGCAGAAGAACGAGATCAACCACGTGATCCCCTCTAGCTGGTTAGTCGTTTCTTGGCCTATCCCCCAGAGTGGGTGTGAGCGGTGCTTTTAGGTCATCATCATCATCGTCTTCGAGCCTGCATGGACCCATGATCTGTAGGCGAGGGTCTGAAACCATTGGATATCAGGCACGCTGGTAGAGCACAGCATAGGCGTGTATAAATTTCTATTCCGTTCATTGATCTTATTCTGCTCTACGGAACTCGTACATCAGTTTTGTGTCATTCTTCGATAATCCGAAATATTAAGATTAGCCTATGTGAGTCTGTGCTTTTTTTGATCTTGTCTGCTGTTCTCTGTTGTACTCGTGGTAGAGCCTAACCAGGAGTGGACAAACACGCCTTCTGCTCCAGCACCATGATGACGCATGTCTCACGCATCACCAGATCTGGCAAATAAACCTCAAACGTTCGAATAGCGAGAAGGAGAGAGAGTCCGGCTGAGGAGCCAGGAAGAGAGCGACGCATAAAATAGAAAGGCGAAAGACACAAATAGCAAGAAGTGACAGGCGAAAGAACTAGAGAGAAAGACACAACCAAATAGGAAGCGAGAGAAAGAGACAGAAACGGAAAGAATTGATATATAGGGTTTAACGTCCCAAAACCACCATATCATTATGACAGACGCCGTAGTGGAGGGTTCCGGAAATTTCGACCATCTGGGGTTCTTCAACATGCACCCAAATTTGAGCACACGGACCTACAACATTTCCGCCTTCATCGGAAAGGCAGCCGCCGCTGCCGGGATTTGATCCCGCGACCTGCGGGTCAGCAGCCGAGTACCTTAGCCACTAGACCACCGCGGCGGGGCAGGAAGAGATAGAACGCAGGACATAGAGAAAGAGAGGGAAAGAAACAAAGATGAACAAAGGCAAGAAAGACGCAAAAAAAAAACAGAGTTAAGAAAAAAAATAGCAGCTTATCCACGGAGTGAATGATGGAGAGTGGGGCGAAGCATCCGTTCATCCATTCGTTCTTGCTTCCGTCCGTCCATGCGTTTGTCTGTGTGACCATCCGTGTGTCTATTCGCCCATCCGTGCGTGCGTCTGTTCGCGCGTCCGCACGTCCTGCGTTCGTCCATGCATCCGCCCCTGCATCCGTGCATACGTCCATCCGTCGCTACAGCCATCCGTGAGTCCGTACATGCATCTGTCTGTGTGTCCGTTCGTCCATCTTTTCAACAATCAAAGTACCACCATCTCGCATTTTTTCATCATATATTCCCGATATAGAAGCCCCGCCATCCAGCGGACATTCGAAGAACTGAACAAGAGGTGGCACACGCACACTTTTTTACGGCTTGCGCTTCGTGTCTACTTCCCACCGTAATCACCTCGACTTCATGGTATATACTAGTTCACTTTATTCTTGGCACTGGGGCGCAACGCTCGCAAAACCTTTTTAAAACCAAGGAGGTTACGGCCAGCAACGTAGCAACCCTTTCTTGTCAGATTATGCTCAAGGTACATGCCAATGACTGCTAATGCGGAATGAGAGACAGGAGAATTCGGCTTTTATTGTCTTATGGCTTGTGCTTCGTACCTACTGCCCACCTTTAACCACCTCGACTTCATGCTATACACTAGCTCACTGTATTCATGTCACTGTGGTCCAACGCTCGCTAAACCTTTCTAAAACAAAAGAGGTTACGCCCGGCGAGTATAACGTAGAAACCCTTTCTTGTCAGATATTGCTCATTGTACATGCTGATGGCTGATAATGAGAATTGCAGCGTGCGCATTACCTAAAAGGCGAATGCTCGTGTTTCTATTTTCCCATTAGCAGCCATTGGCATGTACATTGAGCACGGTTTTTATTGTTCAACAACGCACAGAAGAAATCTCTCACCGGCATTACATTGGTGGTCAAAATGTTATAATTGTTACATACTGCAACGGCTACGAGGGAGGAACGGGTTCCGCTATAAACAGCTTCGCCCCTAAAATACCGATATCACCGAACAATTTTGAGGATGCCAACACACGGGCAAGTGATTTCTGTGATGTGTATGTTAACGTTTCTAAATGAATAGCCTTCATTACATCGAAAGCATCGGTTGTTGACCGGCATCTCCTTCATATGTGGGAAAGTAGACGCAGCCTAAGCGATGGAAGTGCCAGTGCCTCAATCGTAAACTGCGTCTCAAAATAGCAAAAGCTTCGAAGCACACCAACCAAGAATCTCCCGGTGAATTTCGACGCACTACCTCAACCACTTGTGCTGCTGCCACACTTTTGATGCTACAACGGTGCCACCAAGTTGTCAGAAACGAAATAGCCGGCTCGTTCAACTAGACACTTTTCCCACATTGCCACACTTCTAACACACTTCTCCTACGGCCGCGGGCTGTTCTGGGATTGTTTGAAAAAAGGTGTGTTCTAAAGAATCGGACGTGTTGCCCAAAAATTGTCACTTCGGGATCTATTTGACCATTTTTATACCTTTACTATGGTCGCCACATCTTCCTCGGCGACGTAGTCTGCATGGGTTTGGTTATGTGTCGAATAAAAAAGAACCCGCCCTTGACACAATCGCCTTTTTTATTTTCCTTATTGTAGCATTTAGCATTTTATGTGGATATTTTCTGATGACACTAGCATTGTACCACCGGCTTGAGCTCGATGCCTGTCCCAAACGCCTCCATGCGTCGCGGCCGCCAGCGATTAATATTTTTCATGTAGTACAGCTGTGGTCACGTATCGTGCGCGCCAGTAGCAGGTTTTTGCTTTGCGGGGCGACACGTTGATGACGTTTTGGGGTATGATGTGGTTTGTCAGGAGCGTGCGTGGCCTATAGTAGACAGGGCGACCACGTCAGAGGCGAAAACTGCCTCAAGGTGTCGCGGCGCAGAGAAAAAATCAACCGCTTCCGCGCTTCACCCATACGTGGCTGCGGCTGTACGTATGTAATTGTATACTAGTTCAATCAATTGCAATAACGCGCGGGTAATAAAACAGCTGTATTCGCTAAACTTGATAAAATGAACAAATATTTGACGTGATTTGGAGTGTGATTTTTGATTGCGCATGGGAATCCTTCAAGGTTAACTGAACCCTAACTACGCCATCAATAACACCTCGTCAGGGATTCTGTACTCCTTATTTTCTGGAGCAGCCAAGTGTCATTTTATGGGCTTGTGGAATAACCCGAACTCCATGCGCTGCATTACAGGACACTAAACCACGATCAGATGCAGTTCGCTGCGGCAATGTTGTCTCTATTGTACGCGGGACTTTTTGGCACAGCGCGCGTGTAGAGAGGCAATCGTAGAGGCAATTGTAGAGGAGATAGGCAATCGTATACGCATACACACGTCCTCAGGGGACAGCAGCAACAGAAGCAATTATTGGCTGCCGCGCGCCCGTACCGAATACCAAATTATGCATTGTGGCACATGTAGCCTGTAATAGCATGATTGCTTGCATGTCACACATTTCCAGATTATGCGAAAACAAAGAAAAAAATAGTAGTGTGACGTTTTTTTTTTGTACACGATCGTAGATATTGAATTTCCAGCTGTATCAACGGAAGAAGACAGCCTTTATGTAGGTTTTCCCGGTCACGCTTATCCGGCGTCACTGTGGTAAAGTTTCCTTCCGGCGCATTCGCATGACTTGCAGCGGTTGGCTTAAACTTTGTAGGGACGAGTATGCTTGTAGCACTAGACTGGACACCCTCCATGTGGCAGCGTGCCTTTTTGGCGTCCTCTGCGGGATGAAGCTCAATGGCCGTCTAGCCCACACTAGTCTCTCACATTGTGCTCTTCAGGGCCGCAGTATTCGCGTAGCCCGAGTAGGGCTTCACCCTCATGCTGACGCTCTTGTGGGCCACCAGCGTCATTTTTTTTATTTGTACAT